CAATAATTACAATAAATATAAATGGACTAAATACATCATGAAAAGACAGAGTTGGGAGAATTGATTTAAAAAGCATGAAGCAGGCCAAGCACAATGGCTCATACCTGTAATCCAGGCTGAGGCAGAGGGATCAGCTGAGGCCAGGAGTTCCAGACCAGCCTGGAATACATAGCAAGACCTCCATCTTTTTAAAAAAATTTTTGTTGGCCGGGCACGGTGGCTCAAGCCTGTAATCCCAGCACTTTGGGAGGCCGAGGTGGGTGGATCACAAGGTCAACAGATCGAGACCATCCTGGTCAATATGGTGAAACCCTGTCTCTACTAAAAATACAAAAATAAATTAGCTGGGCATGGTGGCGTGTGCCTGTAATCCCAGCTACTCAGGAGGCTGAGGCAGGAGAATTGCCTGAACCCGGGAGGCAGAGGTTGCGGTAAGCCGAGATCGTGCCATTGCACTCTAGCCTGGGTAACAAGAGCGAAACTCAGTCTCAAAAAAAAAAAAATTTTTTTGTTTTATTAGCCAGGCATAGTGGCGCATACCTGCAGTCCCAGCTACTCAGGAGGCTGAGGCAGAAGGATCTCTTGAGCCCAGGAACTGAAGGCTCCAGTGAGCTATGATGGCATCACTATACTCCTACCTGGGCAACAAAGCACAAGACCCTGTCTCTAAAATACAAACAACAACAAAAACATGAACTATATGCTGTCTACAAGAAACTTCAAGCTGGGAGCAGTGGCTCATGCCTGTAATCCCAACACTTTGGGAGGCCAAGGTGGGAGGATCACTTGAGCTCAGAAGTTCAAGATCAGCATGGGCCACATAGCAAGACCTTGTCTCTAGTAATAAATAAATAAATAAATAAATAAGCAAGCAAGCAAGCAAGCAAGCAAGCAGGGCATGGTGGCATAACACCTGTGGTTCCAGCTACTCTGGAAGCTGAGGCTGGGAGGATCGCAGTGAGCTCTGATCATGCCACTGCAATACAGCCTAGGCAACAGAGTGAGACCCTGTCTCAAAAAAATAAATAAATAAATAAGGAAAAGAAACTTGAAGCCAGGCATGGTGGCTCACACCTGTAATCCTAACACTTTGGGAGGCAAAGGTGGGAGGATCACTTGAGACTAGGAGTGCAAGACTAGCCTGGGCACCATAGGAAGACCCTGTCTCTCCAGAAGAAAAAAATAAAAACTTCGAACATTATAAAGGTAGACTGAAAGTAAAAAAATGGAAAAATACAAATAATCATCAACAGAAAGCAGAGTAACTATAATAGTATCAGAAAAATTAACTTCAGAGCAAAACAAAATTACCAAAGACAAAGAAATACATCATATAATGACAAAAGGGTCAATCTACCAAGAAGACATATCAACAGTCCTGAATATGTAGGCACCAAGTAACAGAGCTTTAGAATACAATACGTAAAAACTGATAGAACTGAAAAATATATCCAATCCAATCACAGTTGGATATTTCAACAAATCCTCCCTCAATAACTAAAAACGACTAGACAGAAAATCACTAAGGATACAGAAGAACTTAACACTTTAATGGATATAAAGGCAGCTTAGCAACTTAAACATCATACATGGCATGTGGCCTTGTTTTAATGATCTGTTTATATATAACTATTTTCCACTGTTGGCTTTCTTTTTTTGTTCTTATTGTTTTCTTTTAATAACAGAATTGGTACATATTAACTGGAGAAAAAATACTGATGTTTATAAAGTAAAACTAAAATGCCCCTGTCAACCTGCCACCACTCACCTGAAATAACCCCTCCCTAGAATCTTTATTCTTTAAAATCTTTTCTATCTATGCATAAATACATATGCATGTATGGTTTTAATTTTATTTTTAAAACTGAATCATATTTGGCCGGGTGCAGTTGCTCACACCTGTAATCCCAGCACTTTGGGAGTCTGAGGCAGGTGGCTCACAAGGTCAGAAGTTTAAGACTAGCCTGGCCAACATGGTGAAACCCCATCTCTAATAAAAATACAAAAAAATCAGCCAGGCCTGGCGGCACATGCCTGTAGTCCCAGCTACTCAGGAGGCTGAGGCAGGAGAATCGTTTGAACCCATGAGGTAGAGGTTGCAGTGAGCCAAGATTGCGCCTCAGCACTCCAGCCTGGGCAACAGAGCAAGACTCCAACACACACACACAAAAAAAATTGAATCATATTTGGATATTGTCTGCAACTTGCTTTTTGTCAACACAATGACATACGCTAACATCCTTCCTGGTTGGTGATATACAGATCATATAAAGTACTAATAAAAATGTTCTCAGAAGCTGGGCATGGTGGCTTACTTCTGTAATTCCAACACTTTGAGAGTTGAGGCAGGAGAATCACTTGAGGCCAGGAGTTAGAGATCAGCCTGGACCACATAACAGACCCCATTTCCACGATTAAAAAAAAAAAAATGTTCAGGAGCTAAATGATAAGAACTTATGACCACAGAGAAAGAAACAATAGATACAGGGGTCTATTTGATGGGGGAGGGTAAAAGGAGGGAGAGGAGCAGAAACAGTAACTATTGGGTACTGGGCTTAATACCTGAGTGATAAAATAATATGTACAACAAACCCCTATAACATGTGTTTATCTAGTAACAAGCCTTCACATGTATCCCCAAACCTAAACTAAAAGTTTTTTAAAAATCAAAGACAAAAAAAAAAAAACAAAGTTGGCCAGGCACATTGATTCGTGCCTATAATCCCAACACTCTGGGAGGCTGAGGTAGGCGGATCACCTGAGGTCGAGAATATGAGACCAGCCTGCCAAAGGTGATGAAACATCATCTCTACTAAAAAATACAAAAAGTGACTGGGTGCAGTGACTCATGCCTGTAATCCTGGCACTTTGGGCAGCCAAGACAGGCAGATCACAAGATCAGGAGTTTGAGACCAGCCTGCCCAATATGGTGAAACACTGTTTCTACTAAAAACACAAAAATTAGCTAGTAGTGGTAGTGGATGCCTGTAATCTCAGCTATTCGGGAGGCTGAGACAGGAGAATCACTTGAACCTGGGAGGTGAAGGTTGCAGTAAGCCAAGATCGCACCACTGCACTCCAGCCTGGGTGACAGAGCAAGACTCTGTCTCAAAAACAAACAAAAATATAAAAAAATTAGCTGGGTGTGGTGGTGCGAGCCTGTAGTCCCAGATACTCAGGAGGCTGAGACAGGAGTATCACTTGAACCCGGAAGACAGAGGTTGCAATGAGCTGAGACTGTGCCACTGCACTCCAGCCTGGGCCACACAGTGAGACTCCATCTCAGATAAAAAAATAAACAAAAAAGTTGATTTTAAAAAATGTTATCAGGATTGGGCATGGTGGCTCACGAGGCTCATGCCTGTAATCCCAGCATCGTGGGAGGCTAAGGCAGGCAGGTCAGCTGAGATCAGGAGTTTGAGACCAGCCTGGCAACATGGTAAAACCTCGTCTCTGCTAAAAATACAAAATTAGCCGGGCAGGGTGGCGCATGCCTGTAATAACAGCTACTCAGTAGGCTGAGGCAGGAGAATCTCTTGAACTGGAAGGTGAAGGTTGCAGTAAACTGAGATTATGCCACTGCACTCCAGCCTGGGTGACGAGCAAAACTCCATCTCAAAAAAAAAAAAAATATATATATATATATAAATATATATATATGTGTGTGTGTGTGTGTGTGTGTGTGTGTGTGTGTATTCTCAGAAAATAGCATGTCCTTTAATAAGTTCCTTGTAGTTATAAAAGCCTATTATACTCAGCACCTAGAAACATAATGACCATCAGATTAATGTTAAACAACAGAAAAAGGCCGGGTGCGGTGGCTCGCGCCTGTAATTCCAGCAGTTTGGGAAGCTGAGGCAGGCGGATCACCTGAGGTTGGAAGTTTGAGACCAGCCTGACCAACATGGAGAAACCCCATCTCTACTAAAAATACAAAATTAGCCAGGCGTGGTGGCGCATGCCTGTAATCCCAGCTACTCAGGAGGCTGAGGGAGGAGAATCGCTTGAACTCAGGAGGCAGAGGTTGCGGTGTGTCAAGATCACACCTTTGCAATCCAGCATGGGCAACAAGAGCGAAACTCCGTCTCAAAAGAAGAAAAAAAAAACAAAACAGAAAAATGAATAAAACTCTCCTAGAGCCGGGCGTGGTGGCTCACACCTGTAATCCCAGCACTTTGGGAGGCCGAGGCGGGTGGATCACAAGGTCAAGGGATCGAGACCATCCTGGTCAACATGGTGAAATCCCATCTCTACTAAAAATACAAAAAATTAGCTGGGCATGGTGGCACATGCCTGTAATCCCAGCTACTCAGGAGGCTGAGGCAGGAGAATTGCCTGAACCCGGGAGGCGGAGGTTGCAGTGAGCCGAGATGGCGCCATTGCACTCCAGCCTGGGTAACAAGAGCGAAACTCCATCTCAAAAAAAAAAAAAAAAAAGGCCGGGCGCGGTGGCTCAAGCCTGTAATCCCAGCACTTTGGGAGGCCGAGGCGGGTGGATCCCAAGGTCAAGAGATTGAGACCATCCTGGTCAACGTGGTGAAACCCCGTCTCTACTAAAAATACAAAAAAAAATTAGCTGGGCATGGTGGCGCAGTGCCTGTAATCCCAGCTACTCAGGAGGCTGAGGCAGGAGAATTGACTGAACCCAGGAGGCGGAGGTTGCGGTGAGCCGAGATCGCGCCATTGCACTCCAGCCTGGGTAACAAGAGTGAAACTCCATCTCAAAAAAAAAAAACAAAAAACAAAACAAAACAAAAAAAAAACCTCTCCTAGAGCAAGAAGACAGCAACACAGAGTTTAAAGTACTCTGTAAACAATAAAGGGAGTAAAAACATAAGTACTATCACAATTATATTCTCTAATTTTTTTGTTTTTTAAAGTAAACACTAAAATCTAGCTGGCATCATTAGATAAAATATTGGTATTCTATCATTATTGCAAAAAAAAAAATGGGGCGGTATGTTAATGCAAGTATTTGATTCTAAGAACAAAATACTCACAGCTGTTTCTCCTTTTGGGAGATTAGTTTCTGCAGACTGTCAGATTTACTGAGACATTCTTGTAGATATTTTTCATCCTCATCTTCAGCTTCCATTTGCGCCTTCTCTGCTTGCTGCAATCTGGTGTAATTCAAATCAACTTTGGGTAAAACTGAGGCTAGAACTAGGGTGTAAAAGGGTGAAGAAGACAAATAAAAGAAAAATGGGGAAATAGAAACATTTCTAAATGAAAACAAAGTTTGGGGGAAAACTCACAAACTCAAACGTGAAAGAGCCACACAATGTCTTTAAGTTGTTTTGTGATTTTTTTTTTTCAATATAACATGTAGTATGCCCAGAATACTATCTTCAAATTTGTTTTATTTCTTGTTCATAATTAACAATGCAAAGCAATACAGCCTTTACCACTTAAGCAGAGGATAATGAATCAAATTTCAAAGCATAATAGGTATGTTACTACCTTTTCACAAAACCAAGAAAAGCACAGAATTATGTCTACACTAGGTGAAGAAGCCACACTGTTATATGTGATGCAAGGATGTGTATGCCAGGAATCAAGCGTGCTACCAGGCCAGGAGAAAAACCTGCAGTTACTCCAAATGATAGCTAAGTCCTTCTTACAGCATCTTGATGCATTGACTAAATTATGCCAAAGCTCTACGTATGTGTGTGTGCACATATGCATATATGTTTAAAATTCAAAAAGAATCTGGTGCCAGTTGGCATCATTCTCTAAAGATCATTTTTGTTCCTGACCATTTAATATTAAAAATTAGCTAAAACATTGTGATTTTCATCTTTCCTGTTTTTATTTGTAAGTCATTGCATTTTCCTGTGCTTAGCTCCACTCCCGCCTTCTTTGGCCGTCTAGGATTTCTTATATTTAACTTCACTATTTTTATAAGAAAGTATTTCCCAACATTCAAAGGATATTAACTCCTTGCAGGAAATCACAAGAGAAATTGCGGTTCAACTAACCTAAAAACTCATCCTCTTCCTTTCTTCCTTAAAACCATACCAATGGAGCAACGCTCACGTATTCTAGGGGTATAAATGCTGCTTCCAAGGAAAGGAGAGTAACATTTAAGTTATCTCCAAATCTAAGTTTAAATTAAAACATTAAGGTGCTGGGGGTGGACCCAAGCTTTTCTCTAAGGTTACAAAAAGGAAAATAAAAGTCAGAGTGAGGTAGGCCTTGAAGTTGTGCTATCACAGAAGAGGGCAAGGGAGAATCGGAAAACTGAAAAGCTGAAGCACAGGATGATGGCCAGTCTGGGTTATAAATTATTTTAAAGCATATGTAAAAATCTGTAAGGGAGCCAATGGGCAAAGAGTGGGCCAATGAGAAAAATATATCTGTGCCAACACAGTATAAAACCAAAGGTTAAGTTATTTTTAAACAATCTTTATATTTTTCATCAAAAAGTAGCTAAAAAGATAAAACTGCATTTGAAAATCCTGACCTCCAAAGGGTCAATAATCAAATCAGCCTTTGTGCACAGGTTTGAGGAATGTATGTCTGGAAATCCAAGTGCACCCACTCTGCTTTATGGCAGTGTATTACCACAGCAGCTGACAAAAAAATGTACAGGGTTCCTAACACCCTTTTCGAATATTTAATAGCATAGATTCCTTTCTATTTAATATATTATAAAATTGTTGATTTTCTTTTCATTTAGTCTGTTTAAATACAAGCGGTCTTCAGAAAGATATATCTTTGACCAGCTTGTACTGGTCCTGACTGTCACTGCTGGCACATTTCACCAATGACATTGCAATTGTCCTAGTTTGAGTTAACAAATCGTTGTCACTTCATAATGGAATGGAAAGAAATCAAAGACAGAAAAAGGTAATAAAGATGTCCAAAATGTAAAAATGGGGATAAAGAAAACAAAAAAGAAAAAAGAAGAAAGAGGATGTCAATAAAAGAATATTCATGTCTATAAAGCATTAATAGTTATGTTTTTCATAAGTAGATTCAAAGAAAGCAATGATAAAAGACATATGTTGACACCAACATGACAGGGCAATGGAAATACATTACATTTTCCAACAATAAAAGTGAAAAATGCCAATATAAAACAATTCAATTTAAACAAAATTATATCTTCAGTTGGGTTGAAGGTCCTAGCTCAAAGAAACAAAACTAAACCACCAATTCGGAATGCTTGATTTCAGATCAACAGATGGTGAATGGCAAAGAATAAATATGACAATTAATATGCATGGAAATCAATCAGGGATAATCTCACTCTGTTCACTTTTAATTTTTTTGACATTTTAATTTGTGTATGTTTTATGTAATTGATTGAAACACATGAAACTGCTAGTATTAGGCCTCTAAGAAAAATCTACAATATGACAACTTCAAATGAATCAGCATAATATAAAGCAACTTGATTCCATGCAACAACCAAAACAAAAAGGCAAAATCCTACTGTGCTTACACAAAAACACATGTCCTAATCTATGTCTTCCTAATGGTTTTTGTGGCAGGTGTCAGAACTGAATAAAGAAAAAGGGGAGAAGAAAAGAAAAAAAGAAACTAAGACTGGAAATGCTGTACCTTTGTTCCAGCTGCCTCATGGCTGCAGTAATTTTATTGGTTTTTTCTTCTAGTCGGGCAATTATTTCATTTTTTTCTTTCAAGCCATCTTCAGAACCCTATTTATAAAAAGAAAAGCTATGGTGGTTTTTATTTTTTTTTTCTGTTTTTTAAGAGACAGGGTTTCATTACGCTGCCCAGGTTAGGTTTGAACTTCAGTCTCCCAAGTAGAGTTTTGATCTTTTAACCTGAATATTTATGTTTCTTAAACCGTTTTGCTATGGGACTGTTACTTTTAAATGAACAGAGTTACTTTGTACATTAAAATAATTGTGCGAGGCCGGGCGCGGTGGCTCAAGCTTGTAATCCCAGCACTTTGGGAGGCTGAGGCGGGTGGATCACAAGGTCGAGAGATCAAGACCATCCTGGTCAATATGGTGAAACCCCGTCTCTACTATAAATACAAAAAACTAGCTGGGCATGGTGGCACGTGCCTGTAATCCCAGCTACTCAGGAGGCTGAGGCAGGAGAATTGCCTGAACCCAGGAGGCGGAGGTTGCGGTGAGCCGAGATCGCGCCATTGCACTCCAGCCTGGGTAACAAGAGCGAAACTCTGTCTCAAAAAAAAAAAATAAATAAATAAATAAAAATAATTGTGCGATATAAAACACTGCTATTAGGCCGGGCATGGTGGCTCAAGCCTGTAATCCCAGCACTTTGGGAGGCCGAGGTGGGTGGATCACGAGGTCGAGAGATCGAGACCATCCTGGTCAACATGGTGAAACCCCGTCTCTACTAAAAATACAAAAAATTAGCTGGACATGGTGGCTCGTGCCTGTAATCCCAGCTACTCAGGAGGCTGAGGCAAGAGAATTGCCTGAACCCAGGAGGCGGAGGTTGCGGTGAGCCAAGATCGCGCCATTGCACTCCAGCCTGGGTAACAAGAGCGAAACTCCGTCTCAAAAAAAAAACAAAAAACAAAAAAAACAAAAAAAAAACACTGCTATTAGTCTTTTTTTTTTTTAAGATGGGGTTTTGCTATGTTTGAACTCCTGGCCTCAAACAATCCTTTCATCTTGGCCTCCCAAAGTGCTGGAATTACAGGCATGAGCCATGGCACCCAGCCTTTATTAGTATTCATCTAAAATGTTAATAGGATAAGTGCAGTTACTCGCACCTGCAATCCCAGTGCTTTGGGAGGCCAAGGCGAAAGGATAGCTTGAGACTAGCCTGGGCAATATAGTGAGACCTCATCTCTACAGAAAGCAAAACAAACAAACAAACAAAAAAAAAAAAAAATTTTTACCAGAACCTAAAGGACAAACAAAAAAAATTATTTTAATAAAATGTAATAAAGAAAACTCAATCTTCAATATTTTCGGAAGATGACAGCATACATTCTTGTAAAATATGACATTTTTTGAATTAATTAGATTGTAAAGGGTTTTTGGCAACAAATCTACTTAATAGCAACATCATCTTAGAAAATTTACAATTATGGGCCAGGCATGGTGGCTCACGCCTGTAATCCCAGCATTTTGGGAGGCTGAGGTGGGTGGAACACCTGAGTCAGGAGTTCGAGACCAGCCTGGCCAACACTGTGAAACCCTGTCTCTACTAAAAATACAAAAAGTAATTGGGCGTATTGGTGCATGCCTATAGTCTCAGCTACTAGGGAGGCTGAGGCAGGAGAGGCTGGAACCTGGGAGGCTTGAACCTGCACTGCAGCCCAGGCAACAGAGTGAGACTCTGTCTCAAATTAAAAAAAAAAAGAAAGAAAGAAAATTTACTATTATAATAGTGTAGCATTTCAATTGAAATTAAATCTTTCTTGGGGCTATACTGTAAAAAGAAGTTCACAAAATCATCTTGCAGTTTGAGTTTTCCCAAAAGATTTTTTTTTTTAAAGACAGAGTTTCACCATGTTGGCCAGGCTGGTCTTGAACTCCTGACCTCCAGTGATCCGCCCGCCTCAGCCTCCCAAAGTGCTGGGATTAAAGGTGTGAGTGACCATGCCTGGCCCCTTCCCAAAAGATTTAATTTTCATACTCTTAACCTTTCAGCATTAAAAAAACAATTTAGACAGGTGATATTTTGTTTGTTGATACCTTTTTCATTATATTTCTTAAAATTTCATTTAGAAAAAAACGACATTGGCCTTTATAACTAATATGGTACAGTTAAACTGGGCTCATCTTAAAAACCAAAACCTTTCTATAAGTATTCACTTTCAATTTATAAAAACTTAAGAACAATCCTTACCTGCAACTTTTGATACATCTCTATGTTAATTGCTTTAACTTCCTCTAGTTGTTGTCGAAGACCTATCAGAGTATCTTGTTTCTCATGAATATCTTTCTCCAGCAACTTCATGGCAAGTTCAATCTCATGCTTCATACTAACTTGTACTGCGAGCTCATTCTCCACATCCTGCAATTTCAATATATTCTCAATTCACATTCCACTTCAGGATGTAAAAATCAAATAAACTTTATGAAAGATTTCCCATTCAATATACGGACTACACTTTTTAAGTCCATTAAAGGAAATCAACCAGGCCCTATAACAACACAATAAATATTTTGAAATGCAGGGTCGGGCGCAGTGGCTCATGCCTGTAATCCCAGAATTTTGGGAGGCCGAAATGGGTGGATCAGTTGAGGTCAGGAGTTTGAGACCAGCCTGACCAACATGGTAAAACTCCGTCTCTACCAAAAAATACTAAAACTTAGCTGGGCGTGGTGGCACACACCTATAATCCCAGTTACTAGAAAGGGTGAAGTAAGAGGATCACTTGAACCCGGAGGCAACGGTTGCAGTGAGCCAAAATCATGCCACTGCACTCCAGCCTGGGTAACAGAGTAAGAGCCTGTCTCAAAAAATAAATATTTTTAAATGCAGTTTTTGCTAAAATGAAAGCATTTTCTATATTCTGTTAATCATTATTCTTTTACTGGTTCAAGAATTAATCATTTTCATGCTTCACAAATTCAATATTAATTTTCCTTAAACAAAAGAAAATGAAGCAGTCTATACAAGTAAAGGCCAAAGTTAACTCAAAACACAGTTTAATTTCTTAAGAATTTTTTTATCACTGGATGCAGTGGCTCACGCCTGTAATTCCAGCACTTTGGGAGGCCGAAGTGGGCAGATCACCTGAGGTCAGGAATTCAAGACCAGCCTGACCAACACGGAGAAACCCTATCCCTTAAAAAAAAAAAAAAATTTTTTTTGTTAAGAAATTAATTAACATAAAGACAGAAAAGGTGATAGAAAGACTGGCAATATTCTCTTCTTGACCTGGGTGGTGGTTACACAGGTTATTTGTGTTATAATTCATTTTCTGTTGGCATTATATTTCACAAATTGAAAGGTTAAAAAACAAGTTAACTTTATGACTTCTGTTCTATTTCATTTTCTATAATGCTGGTCACAACCCATTCATTCACTGTAACTTAGAGTTTTAAAACCATATACTATAACTTAGAGTTTAAAAACCACTGATACAGGCCGGGCACAGTGGCTTGCCCCTCTAATCCCAGCATTTTTGGGAGGCCAACGCAGGCAGATCACTTGAGGCCAGGAGTTTGAGACCAGGCTGGCCAAAATGGCAAAGCCCCATTTCTATAAAAAATACAAAAATTAGCTGGGCATGGTGGCACAAGCCTATAGTCCCAGCTACTCAGGAGGCTGAGGTACATGAATTGCTTGAACCCAGGAGGCAGAGGCTACAGTGAGCCAAGATCGTGCCACTGCACTCCAGCCTAAGCAACAGAGCGAGACTCCATCTCAAAACAACAAAACATTGATATAGTGGAAGCTTAGAAAAATTGAAAGGATTAAGGGGTGAGCTTGCTATACCACACGAAAAAGAGTAAGGCTGAGATTTTAAATAGTGCTTGAGGGTAAATTACTCCCAGGATGATTTTGCTAATGTAATTTTTAATATAACCTACCTGTCGTAACTGAGATTCATCTCGAAGCTGCCTTCTGGCTTCATTATACATTTCATCTAGCCCCTGACGAGAATGCTTATATGTTTGAAGCTCAGTTTCCACATCTACTTTGGTAACCTAGGAAGAAAACAAAATTTTTCATTCTATAATACTATTATTCATACAGCACAGACATACCTACGTCAGGCAAAAGTCCCTAAAAATGGTCATTTCTGACACGAGACAGTCTGCTTGAAAGCAGTCCTATACTTACCTCTAGGTGCTGCTGTGTTTTCATTAAAATCAATTTATTTTCACTTCGTAATTGATGATTTTCTTCTTGGAGTTTAATGATATTATTCTTTGCTATTGCTAACTAAAAATAATGGAACAGGGACAAGAAAAAAGACTTTAAGCACCCTTATACTTGTTTTACAGGTTATGTGCATGGCCATAAATAACAGAAAATAAAATCTTTACAACTAGCAAAATGTCACATTCACAGAAACGTTTATAAGAAAAATATGCTCGTTGTTATCCCAAGACACTAATTTTAAAAATTGTATTCTTACTTCCTTTTGAACTACTTCAACTATTTTCTTTTATAGTTGAAACACATTAGGCTTATTTGTTATGCTTATAATAAACATATATGCTTGCCATAGGATTTACACTATGTCCTGAATACAAAGTGTCTGAGTAAACAAATGAAGTATTCATTAAATAACAAAAACTTTCAAGATTTGCATAAAGATAAAAACATGTATAAGGAAAGGTTGTACTATCATTGAAACTGTAATACAGACATTTGTTGTAACTGAATAGGACACCTCATGAAATCTGCACATGTAACAGGAACTTAAGCAACTATGACAATGAGACAGGTCTTATCATGAGTTAAACAGGGATGATTAAGTGGTTTGACTCTGCGCCCAGAATGAAAAGAGAGATCCTATGAAAGCAGAGACCGGGCATGGTGGCTCAGGCCTGTAATCCCAGCACTTCGGGAGGCCAAGGCGAGCGAATTAAGAGGTCAGGAGTTCGAGACCAGCCTGGCCAACATGGTGAAATCCCGTCTCTACTAAAAATATAAAAATTAGCCAGGCATGGTTAACGTGCACCTGTAAGCCCAGCTACTCAGGAGGCTGAGGCAGGAGAATTGCTTGAACCCTGGAGGTTGATGTTGCAGTGAGCCAAGATCATGCCACTGAACTCCAGCCTGGGGCCTGGCGAGAGTCTCACTCTTATCTCAAAAAAAAGGTCAACATGATCAAGCAGTGATACCTGTGAAGAAAAGTAACCTGACTAGTGGAAGAGTGGAAACAGAGGGATGGTATCATTTTAACAATAATTTCTTTTTTTATGTGTTTTTTTTTTATTATTACACTTTAGGTTCTGGGATACATGTGCAGAATGTGTAGGTTTGATACATAGGTACACATGTGCCATGGTGGTTTGCTGCACTTAACAAGAATTTCTAATACAGGTGATTTCACTAGGTAAATACAGGTCATCCAGATTTTAAAATGAGAATCACAGCTTAAATATTGAAGAGTTTGTGTGAGTCTCATCTCTGAAGCTCATTTCTAGAAGGTATCTCAAATATAGTATCTTACAGATTCACATAACTGAGGATTTGCCTAAAAGTATATGGTTTCTTTAGAACTTTTTTTTTTTTGGAGACCGAATTTCACTCTTGTTACCCAGGCTGGAGTGCAATGGCGCGATCTCGGCTCACCGCAACCTCCGCCTCCTGGGTTCACGCAATTCTCCTGCCTCAGCCTCCTGAGTAGCTGGGATTACAGGCACGCGCCACCATGCCCAGCTAATTTTTTGTATTTTTAGTAGAGATGGAGTTTCACCATGTTGACCAGGATGGTCTCAATCTCTTGACCTCGTGATCCACCCGCCTCGGCCTCCCAAAGTGCTGGGATTACAGGCGTTAGCCACCGCGCCCGGCCTTCTCTAAAACTTTTAATAATTAGTTACAACTATATTACAAGTACTGCACCACAATGAGTTTGCGTTCATCTGTGTGTGTGTATGCCTAATGCATTCATACTTAAAATGGAAAAGGATCACAAACATAAGTCCATGAAATACATTTATCCATTAGACAATACCTCTTCAATCAGCTTAGTATTTGACTTTTCTAATGAATCAACTCGTGAATGGAGGCTGCTGACTGTGCTGCTGAAATTAATAAAGAAAAAAACTCATTCAAAATCACACAAACTCACAAAGGCACAAAAACATTATGTTATCCTAGACTTACTTATTATGTTTACTGACAGGCACCAATGCCCTGTCCAAATTTCTGAGTGTGGAAAATTTCATTAACTTGGATAACTTGATTTAGCTAGGAGGGCAATAAAGAGTGTAGCAAAATAATATTTCTTTTTTTTTTTTTTTAGACGGAGTTTCGCTCTTGTTACCCAGGCTGGAGTGCAATGGCGCGATCTCAGCTCACCGCAACCTCCGCCTCCTGGGCTCAGGCAATTCTCCTGTCTCGGCCTCCTGAGTAGCTGGGATTACAGGCACGCGCCACCACGCCCAGCTAATTTTTTGTATTTTTAGTAGAGACGGGGTTTCACTATGTTGACCAGGATGGTCTCGATCTCTTGATCTCGTGATCCACCCGCCTCGGCCTCCCAAAGTGCTGGGATTACAGGCTTGAGCCACCGCGCCCGGTGCAAAATAATATTTCTATTAAAATTCTATTTGGTGCTACTTTTTTTTTTTTTTTTTTTTTTTTGAGACAGAGAGAGTCTTGCTCTGTCACCTAGGCTGGAGTGCAGTGGTGAGATCTCAGCTCACTGCAACCTCTGCCTCCCAGGTTCAAGCAATTCTCCTGTCTCAGCCTCCTGAGTACATGGGATTATAGGTGTGCACCACCATGCCTGGCTAATTTTTGTATTTTTAGTACAGACTTGGTTTCTCCACGTTGGTCAAGCTGGTCTTGAACTCCTTACCTCACCATCACACACCTCAGGCTCCCAAAGTGCTAGAATTACAGGTGTAAGCAACTGCACCTAGCCTACTCATTTTTTTAAATTGCCTTCTGAGGGTCCTACTAAATTTAACTGAAAATATTTGGGAATAAAAATCTCACACAAAGATTACTAAATATTGTTAAAATTATATGTAAAAGGATGAACTTTAAATGCCTACTTTATATGGTTTGATGAAACATATAAACAATGGTCTTTAATTCAAGCTCCATTCTGTTTCCCCTCTCCATTTTCATAAGAACTAGACCTCCAAAGTCAACCAGGTTTGAGAAGTATATTCATATTTCTCAATGAAATACACAGCATCAGGTTATTAGTATCAAGTATCTGGCAGCTAAACACCCTGTGTTTCAAAGAAAATAGTCGAAGGTCAGATTATACCAGATTAACACACCTTTTTTTTGCATTTTTGTTTAAATGAATTAAGATTGGACATTATCATAGGTTTTATTTAAAATGTTAGCCAGGTGTGGTGGCTCACACCTGTAATCCCAGCACTTTGGGAGGCAGAACCTGAAAGACAGAAATTGCAGTGAGCCGAGATCGCACCACTGTACTCCAGCCTGGGCAAAAAGAGCAAAACTCCATTTCAAAAAAAAGAACGTTGCCCAAAGCCCGCTTGATACTATCAACTCAAAACCTTCCTTAATAAAATGTAATATTCTATATATAGTATATTTCAGCAAAATCAGACTCAGAAACAAGTGTTGGTATTTTAGTTTTACTAGTGAAACAAGAAAAATGTTTTTCCATTCATACTAAATCATTTTTAAGATGTAATCATTCTGGCTGGGCACGGTGGCTCACGTCTGTAATCTCAACACTTGGGGAGGCCGAGGTGGGCAAATCACAAGGTCAAGAGATCAAGACCATCCTGGTCAACACAGTTAAATCCCATCTCTACTAAAAATACAAAAATTAGCTGAGCATGGTGGCACGTGCCTGTTGCTCCAGCTACTTAGGAGGCTGAAGCAGAAAACTAGCTTGAACCCAGGAGGCAGATGTGTCAGTGAGCTGAGATCGCACCACTGCACTCCAGCCTGGGTAACGAGTGAAACTCCGTCTCAAAAAAAAAAAAAAAAATTAGTTGGGCATGGTGGTGGGCACCTGTAATCCCAGCTACACAGGAGGCTGAGGCAATACTGTTTGAACCTGGTAAGCAGAGGTTGCAGTGAGCTGAAATCACAACATTGTACTGAGAGACGGGGGAAGATTCAGTCTCAAAAAAAAAAAAAAAAAAAAAAGAAAGTTATTATTATTTTTTTAAAGACGGGGTTTCACCATGTTGGTCAGGCTGGTCTTGAACTCCCGACCTCAGGTGATCCGCCCGCCTTGGCCTCCAAAGTGCTTGGATTACAGGAATGAGCCACCAAGCTCAGCCAAGGAAAGAAAGTTATAAAACTTTCCTGAGCGTCAGTTTCTTTTCTATAAAATTGGACAATAATATTCACCTTGCCTTTATGTGAGGATACAATCATCAAGAAAAGCACTTGGAAAACAATAAACCCTCAATAGTAGTTTTGAGTGAGGAATGATAGGCGAATTCTACTTTTTTTTTTTTCCTTTTATTCTTGCATATGCAATAGAATTCTAACTTTTTCTGTATGTTTTCTATACTTTTGAAATATTCTAAGTGTACAATAACTACTTTTTATTAGAAAATCAATGGAAGACCAGGTACAGTGGCTAACACCTGTAATATCAGTACTTTAAGAGGCCACAGTGGGTGGAAAGCCTAGGTAAGGAGTTTGAGACCAGCCTGGGCAACATGGTGAAACCCCATCTTTATCAAAACTACAAAAAACTAGCCAGGTGTTGTGGCACAAGCCTGTGCTCCCAGCCACTTGGGAGGCTGAGGTGGGAGGATCTCTTGAGCCCAGTAGGCAGAGGTGGCAGTGAGCCAAGACCAGGCCACTGCACTCCAGCCTGGGTAACAGTGAGACCCGTCTCATAAAAACAAAACAAAAAAAAAAGCAATAAAACATTTATTTTTATTTATTCATTTATTCTGAAACAGGGTCAGCCAGGCAAAGTGGCTGACGCCTATATTCCCAACACTTCAGGAGGCCAAGGCGGGTAATCACCTGAGGTCAGGAGTTTAAGACTAACCTGACCAAATGGAGAAACCCCATCTCTACTAAAAATACAAAATTAACTGGGCATGGTAGTGCATGGTGGGCGGGAGGCTGAGGCAGGAGAACTGCTTGAACCCGGGAGAGGGAGGTTGCAGTTGAGTTGAAATGGTGCCATTTCACTCCAGCCTGGGCAACAAAAGCAAAACTCCATCTCAAAAAAAAAAAAAGAACTGCACTTTTTACATGCAGGTCTCAGAAATTATTCTCAACAAGAGTGTTCACTGATGGCTCTAATGACCAGTTGACAATGTAAGAAGGCAAAAACTTCCAACACAGAAAATGACAGAGAGCCACATTTACATATTAAGCCCTTTGAAGTAGGAAAAATGAATTTCTGAACTATCAAAATGATACAAACTTTCACCTTATCTAGGCTTTTTTTGTCAAGGGAACAACAATAAGTTTTAAGTTCTATTTAAACCCTATGAGGATTCAGTTTTAAAAATCTGACTCTCATTTTCTGCTTAAAATGAATTATCTCATAAGTCTCTGTATTCTTACTTTCCATTTTTTTTCTATCCCCTTAGCCCCTTCTCAAAGACTCTTAAAAGAAAGGAATAGGATAGGCTGAATCGAAGGGAAAAAAACAAAAACAAAACCTAAGACAATATTCATAAATGTTTTAAGTATCCATAATACTTACTTCAGTTGTCTATTTAATTCTTCAACATAATTCTTTTGGTCTAATATGGCAGCAATTTGAACATTCCTAAATGAGGAAAAAAGTAGCTTTGTGCTAGTTGAAAAGGTATTTATTAAGTGCAAAAAAACCCTAAATCATCTAAAATTATTATAAAACTGAAACAATAGAACATTGTCTTACCTTTAAAATAAAACATAACAGTAAGCTGTGTACTAAGTAATTATAACCTTTGTTGAAAAAATGACTTGCTAATAATACATTTAACAATATCATTAGTGTATTTTTAATTTAAACATAATTAGAGCCGGCACAGTGGCTCACACCTGTAATCACAGCACTTTGGGAGGCCGAGGCAGGTGTATCACTTGAGTCCAGGAGTTCAAGACCAGTATGGCCAATGTGGTGAAACCCTGTCTCTACTAAAAATACAAAAATTAGCTGGGTGCGGTGGTTGGAGTCTGTAATCCCAGCTACTGGGGAGGCTGAGGCAGGAGAATCGCTTGAACCCGGGAGGCAGAGGTTGAAGAGAGCTAAGATCATGCCACTGCACTCCAGCCTGGGTAACAGAGCAAAATTTTGTCTCAAAAAAAAAAAAACATAATTAGATCTTGAAGTAAATCAATATTTGCAAACTTGTGAATAATTAGCTTTCATCTCTTTTATTCCAAAAAACACCTATTAAGATGGGTCTCAGTAATTTACAGGTATGACCAAAGGTCCCATTTCATACTATTAATAAAACCTCCTTCTCCCAGATTATTTTCCATAATCTACTTTCTAAAGCTTGTAATGGAAGTGAAAATGAAATGAAGTAGAAGTCACAGGGGTGAAAACAACAAAATAAAACCACATTGTAAACAGAAAGATCTTACAATGATTTGTAAACAGCTATATAAAAAACCCAGTATGTGAAATAACTTATAAAAACCATACCTTTCTTTATTTCCAATATCTTCTTCATTCTTTAAATACATAGAAAAATCAATCACTCCAACCTGAAGTAAATAAAGTTTTTTTTAAAGGGGAGAAAATATTTTATCAGAAGTACCTTTACTGAACGTCATTCTTAATATTCCTTTAGTGTATAACAGTCCTGTTTACAACTTCAAATGATACCTGATCAAGGAGGAACCATGCAAACTAAAAACACTCCACATTTGATACTAATCACTTTCACTTACTTGTGAGTCTAAATCCTCTCCCTTCACACAAAGATTAGCATCGATCACATTCAGGCCAACCAGCAGCCCAACAATTACTGCTCCTTCTTCTTCCATCATTAGTGCATGATACTCATAAAACTCACTGTGAAAATTTTAAAAATAAGGACTTTAAATCACAAATTTATTTCAAAAACTAAAATTTAAAATCACCATTATCTTTCTAATCTACCTTACAGAAACGGAAGCCATCTCAGTTAGATATCTTCAAATTTACCTTTATACATCTGAATAACTTTTTTAATTTCTTAAACTTAAATGTCTCTATTGAAAAATTAAAATGACTGAAGGACATAAAAGAGAGAAAATTTTTTTTTGAGAGAGAGAAAAGAGGAGCAAAGAAGGATGAAAAGAAAAAGTGGTGCTAGGGACGGTGGCTCACACCTGCAATCCCAGCATTTTGGGGGACCAAGGAGGGCAGATCACTTGAGGTCAGGAGTTTAAGACCAAGCTGGCCTATGGTGAAACTCCATCTCTACTTAAAATACAAAACTTAGCCGAGCATGGTGGCTTGTGCCTGTAATCCCAGCTACTTAGGAGGCTGAGGTAGCAGAATTGCTTGAACTGGGACCCAGGAGGCGGAGGCTGCAGCGAGCAGAGATTGCGCCACTGCACTCCAGCCTGGGAAACTCCATCTCAAAAAAAAAAAAAACAAAAAAAAAAAACGTCTGGTGCGGTGGCTCAAGCCTGTAATCCCAGCACTTTGGAAGGCTGAGGCAGGTGGACCACTTGAGGTCAGGAGTTCAAGATCACCCTGGCCAACATGGTGAAACCCCATCTCTACTAAAAATACAAAAATTAGCTGGGCACGCTGGCATGAGCCTGTAATCCCAGCTACTTGGGAGGCTGAGACAGAATTACTCCAGCCCAGGAGGTAGAGGTTGTAGTAAGCCAAGATCGTGCCATTGCAAGTCAGCCAGGGCAAAAAAACAAGACATTGTCTCAAAAAAAAAAAAAAAAAAAAAAAAAAAGGCAACACTGAGCCCTGGGACATTTCTGACTCAGATGGACATAGTGACTGCTGCTGATCTGATCATGATATATTTTACTACAGTTGAAATTTCAATTTTCAATTCTAGGATTTATTAAGACCCCTGGAATAAAGACTAAGGTAGAAAATAAACATATGAAACATGCTCAAGTCAATGCATTCGATAGGTGTATTATAAATGTTCCTAATAGATAATCATCAATTAAAGACACTCTGAGGTATCTACATTCTAAGAAATGTTCAAAAAGAGTTGTGGGCTGGGCGCAGTGGCTCACGCCTATAATCCCAGCACTTTGGGAGGCCAAGGTAGGCAGATAACGAGGTCAGGAGTTCAAGACCAGCCTGGCCAACATAGTGAAACCAGTCTATACTAAAAATACAAAAAATCAGCTACTCAGGAGGCTGAGGCAGAAGAATCACTCAAACCCAGGAGGCAGAGGTTGCAGTGAGCTGACATTGCACCACTGCACTCCAGCCTGGGAGACAGGGTGAGACTTTGTCTCAAAAAACAAAAAAAAAACAAAAACACTAAGTCTCATCAACATATATTCAGAGAAGTAGTTATCACTGTCTCATGCCTCCTTTAATAAGTCCCATGTACATTATTTAATCACTTTAATTATTCTTCAGAATACTGAGAAGCTGCAGGTGCTTAACATATGGTCATTCTCATTTAACAAATGGGTAAACCACAATGTAAAACCAGAGTCACAAGTAAAACCAAAACCAGGACTAAATTCTCCACAACATGAGACAGGCACTCTTACAGGACAAGGATGAATGGAGGACTACTACAGGCCCACTCTGTTGGAGAACAGATTGCCTGCCTTGCTCTGAAAGTCTGTCTTAAATAAACATTTGGCCTTCATTTTATTTTTATGAGACAGGGTTTCACTCTATCACCGGCTGGAGTGCAGTGACACAATCTCAGCTCACTGCAACCTCCCTCTCCCGGGTTCAAGAAATTCTCCTGCCTCAGCCTCCCAAGTAAAGTAGCTGAGATTATAGATATGCACCACCACACCCAGCTAATTCCTTTTTTTTTTGAGACAGAGTTTCACTCTTGTTGCCCAGGCTGGAGTACAACGGCATAATCTCAGCTCACCACAACCTCAGCCTCCTGGGTTCAAGTGATTCTCCTGCCTCAGCCTCCCATGTAGTTGGGATTACAGGTATGTGCCACCATGCCCAGCTAATTTTGTATTTTTAGTAGAGATGGGGTTTCTCCATGTTGGCCAGGCTGGTCTCGAACTCCTGACCCCAGGAGATCAACCCACTTTGGTCTCCCAAAGTGCTGCAATTGCAGGCATGAGCCACTACACCAGAGCTAATTTCTGTATTTTTCGTAGAGATGAGGGTTTTGCCATGGTGGCCAGGCTGGTCTCGAACTCCTGACTTCAAGTGATCTGCCTGCCTCAGCCTCCCACAGTGCTGGGATTACAGGTGTGAGCCACAACACCAGTTGAAATAAATGTTTGGCCTTCAATTTAAAGCGTGCCCATAATATAGTTGAAGCAGTAATTTGGATATTCAAATTCTAAAAACCAACCAACCAACCTGTGGAATTAAAACCCCAAATTCCAACACAAATTTTTATCCATAGAATTAACCATAACTCAGAAAAATGAAACTAGGGCCGGGCACGGTGGCTCACACCTGTAATCCCAGCACTTTGGGAGGCCGAGGCAGGTGTATCACGAGGTCAAGGGATCGAGACCATCCTGGTCAACATGGTGAAATCCCGTCTCTACTAAAAATACAAAAAAATTAGCTGGGCATGGTGGCGCGTGCCTGTAATCCCAGCTACTCAGGAGGCTGAGGCAGGAGAATTGCCTGAACCCAGAAGGCAGATGTTGCGGTGAGCCGAGATCGTGCCATTGCACTCCAGCCTGGGTAACAAGAGCGAAACTCCGTCTCAAAAAAAAAAGAGAAAGAAAAAGAAAACTAACTTAGAAATGTAGTTATGTATAAGCAGTTTCCAGGAAGGGCAAAAGAAAAAATTTTTAAAGAAGAAGAAGTACAATATATATAAATTTCCCCATCCTGACTGATAACAAACTTATGGTACTCATATATAAGACTAATTCCTGACCCATGTCATGCCTCCATCTTGTTTCTCTGTCTCATTTTGCTCCTCCTTTTATTTTCTATCATCTTATATATCCTTTCATAGTACATCTTAAATCCTTTTTGGAAGACAATATAAATTAAAAATGAAAAGAACACAACTTAATAGTACTAACCTCAAAAGATCCCTCTGAATAATTAAGCAACGCAGATAATCAGCCATTTTTTTTTGCATGAGGGCTAACCGAAGCCACGCTCTTGCTCGACCCAGAGGGGTCCTAAAGAGAAGAACCAACTGGTCAGAAAACAGCTCTAGCCCAAAGATAACAACGACAGGCATCCCCAAACTTTTACACAGGGGGCCAGTTCACTGTCCCTCAGACTGTTGGAGGGCCGCCACATACTGTGCTCCTCTCACTGACCACCAATGAAAGAGGTGCCCCTTCCTGAAGTGCGGCAGGGGGCCAGATAAATGGCTTTAGGGAGCCGCATGCGGCCCACGGGCCATAGTTTGGGGACGCCTGGACAACATCTTCCATCTCTAGAGGTATACATTAACAAAGAAAAAGGGCGTTTTTAGCATGGCTTTATTTTCATTTTTATAGCTTTAAACCATCTGTTTAAGCACACAAACAAATCCCTGAGAGCTGGGTAAATTTGTTTCTCCTGTAGGACAGCTAGGTACTATTTTATGTCTTGGAAGAAATGACTCTATAAATGCAGTCATGTGTTGCTTAATGATGGGGATATGTTATGAAAAATTCGTGGTTGGGTGACTTCATCATGGAGTGTACATTTGCAAATGTAGATGGCATATACACCTACGCTATATAGTATAGCCTATGAGTTCCTAGGCTGCAAACCTATATAGCACGCTACTGTACTGAGCTGTAGGCAACTGTTACACAATTATAAGTATTTATGTATCTAAACATATCTAAACATGGAAAATGGTAAAGTAGAGTATGATAATCTTATGGGACCACGATCATTGAATGAAATGTTATGCAGCACAGGACTGTAGTGAGAATACTTTTTTTTAGACATAGTCTCACTGTCACCCAGGTTGGAGTGCAATGGCATGATCTCGGCTCACTGCAACCTCCCCCTTCCGGGTTCAAGCAATTCTTCTGCCTCAGCCTCCTGAGTAACGGGGATTACAGCCAAGTGCCACCATACCCGGCTAATTTTAGTATTTTTAGTACAGACAAGGTTTCACCATGTTGGCCAGGCTGGTCTTGAACTCCTCACCTCATGATCCGCCCGCCTCAGCCTCCCAAAGTGCTGAGATTACAGGCATGAGCCACTGCGCCTGTACCAAGAATATTTCTGTAAGAAATATTTAGGCTAGGCGCGGTGGCTCACATCTGTCATACCTACATTTTGGGAGGTCAAGGTGGGAGGATCACTTGAGCCCAGGAGTTAGAAAACAGCCTGGGCAACATAGAGAGACCCTGTCTCCATTAAAAAAATATATAAATAAAAACAAAAATTAGGCCGGGCGCGGTGGCTCAAGCCTGTAATCCCAGCACTTTGGGAGGCTGAGGCAGGTGGATCACGAGGTCAAGAGATCGAGACCATCCTGGTCAACATAGTGAAACCCCGTCTCTACTAAAAATACAAAAAATTAGCTGGGCATGGTGGCGCGTGCCTGTAATCCCAGCTACTCAGGAGGCCGAGACAGGAGAATTGCCTGAGCCCAGGAGGCGGAGGTTGTGGTGAGCCGAGATCGCGCCATTGCACTCCAGCCTGGGTAACAAGAGCGAAACTCCATCTCAAAAAAAAAAAAAAAAAAAAATTAGGCCAGGCGCAGTGGCTCAAGCCTGTAATCCCAGCACTTTGGGAGGCCAAGGCGGGTGGATCACGAGGTCGAGAGATCGAGACCATCCTGGTCAACATGGTGAAACCCCGTCTCTACTAAAAATACAAAACATTAGCTGGGCATGGTGGCGCACGCCTGTAATCCCAGCTACTCGGGAGGCTGAGGCAGGAGAATTGCCTGAACCCAGGAGGCGGAGGTTGCGGTGAGCCGAGATCGTGCCATTGCACTCCAGCCTGGGTAACAAGAGCAAAACTCCGTCTCAAAAAAAAAAAAAAAAAAAAAACAAAAATTAAAAAATCAAAACCAAACACCAAAAATAAAAATGTCAAGTGTGGTGGCATGTGCCTGTAGTTCCACCTACTGAGGAGCCTGAGGCAGAAGGGTTGCTTGAGCCCAGTAGGCAGAGGCAGCAGTGAGCAGTGACTGCATCACTTTACTTGAGCGTGGACAACAGACTGAGACCCTGTCTCAGGAAAAAAAAAAAATAAATAAATAAATAAATAAATAAATATTAAAAATTCACCAGGCCGGGCATGCTGGCTCACACCTGTAATCCCAGCACTTTGGGAGGGTGAGGTGGGTGAATCATGAGGTCTGCAGTTAAAGACCAGCCTGGCCAACATGGTGAAACTTCATCTCTACTAAAAATACAAAAAATACCAGTAATGAGCCACCAGACATGGGAATCCAATCCACACTTCTTTCTCTTAAGGAAATTACACTGACAAATGGAGTTTTAGTATGATAAATCATCATCAAAATTTGAGACTTCCAAATGCTTTATTTAGCCACGATGATCTTTCTTTACATAAAACATTAAGAAAATAATCAAAGTACCAGACTGGGCAAACCAGAGTAGTCTGGTAGTAGCTGGGGGTGGGGGGGGCGGTGGAGGCAGTGCAGAAGCCCCTCTCAATGCCTCCCTGCCTGCTATGGCGGTGAGGGATGGAGTTTTTGAACACAGACTCAGAATTCTGATGCTCAGGAGAATACCAGTTGAGAACCCGGTTTAAGTCCCTGCAAATTCTACATGGATCACTTTAAAGGCTTTTGAGATTAGACTTGACCAAGAACTCAACGCTGTTCTTTCTGGAAGCATGAAAAGCTGAGACCAAGAACAGCTAAGCAGGCAAGTGGGGCTGCTGAATTCTGGGAGGTACATATGAGCATGCACAGATTCATACAGAATTCAGGGCTTCCAAGACAGAACAAGCACGTTAGTCCCCTACTTTCAGGCCTTTACACACCCGCACTGTTGTGAATAAATGCGTGACTATTTTGGGCTTTGTACACACTGAATGCAACAATGTAAAATCCATCTGATAAGAAATGGATGGGAACAATTAAATATGTAAATAGTAAAAGAAGGGTGGTAAGATTACAGCTAATTTGTTTTGTAAAATTTTTTTAAAAATTAATAAATCATTCTTTTAACAAAAAAAAAAAAAATACAAAAAATAGCTGGGTGTGGTGATGGGCACCAGTAATCCCAAGTACTCGGGAGGCTGAGGCAGGAGAACATTTGAACCTGGGAGGCGGAGGTTACAGTGAGCAGAGATCGGGCCATTATGCTCCTCCGCCTCGTCACAACCTCCACCTCCCAGGTTCAAGCAATTCTCCTGCCTCAGCCTCCGGAGTAGCTGGGACTACAGGCACACACCAACATGCCCAGCTAATTTTTGTAATTTTAGTAGAGACAGGGTTTCACCATGTTGACCAGGATGGTCCTGATCTCTTGACCTTGTAATCCGCCCATCTCGGCCTCCAAAAGTGCTGGGATTACAGGCATGAGTCACCACACCTGGCCAAAAGCAACTTTTATACCACTTAAAAAAAAAAAGAGTGGCATCATTCACATTTCTTTATTTTCTTATATTGGAAACATTTTGGCAGATAGTTTAGGAAGAGACTTGATCTTCACTTCTAATTAAGGAGTTACTTATAGCTTAGCATTTTAATGGACACTATCAGAAAACACGTTTTATTATTGTAGAGTGGCTTTTTAAAGAAACATGAAAAATGAACACATATCTTCCTATTAAAATAAATCTTAACGTTTTTGAGAGTTGAAATTCTGTTTCTTCCTCTTTGTTAAAAATCTCTACACCTGATATATCAAAAATATCAATTATGGCCGGGTGCAGTGGCTCAAGCCTGTAATCCCAGCACTTTGAGAGGCCAAGGCGGGTGGATCACAAGGTCAAGAGATCGAGACCATCCTGGTCAACATGGTGAAACCCCGTCTCTACTAAAAATACAAAAAATTAGCTGGGCATGGTGGCACGTGCCTGTAATCCCAGCTACTCAGGAGGCTGAGGCAGGAGAATTGCCTGAACCCAGGAGGCGGAGGTTGCGGTGAGCCGAGATCACGCCATTGCACTCCAGCCTGGGTAACAAGAGTGAAACTCCGTCTCAGAAAAAAAAAATACTTATATATAAAAATTATGAATTAATATAACTTGAGGGATTTCTTTTTCAATTTTTGTGCGTGGGGGGCCGGGGAGAGACAGAGTCTCACTCTGTCATCCAGGCTGGAGCACAGTGATGAGATCTCGTACCACTGCAACCTCTCCCTCCCAGGTTCAAGCTATTCTCCTGCCTCAACCCTCTGAGTTGAGGGACTATAGGAGTGCACCACCACACCCAGCTAATTTTTTCATATTTTTAGTAGACATGGGATTTCCCCATATTACCCAGACTGGTCTCTAATTCCTGAGCTCAGACAATCCACCCACCTCAGCCTTCCAAAGTGCTGGGATTATTGGTGTGAGCCACCATGCCCAACCACTTAATATTTAACTCTAAAAACTGGGTTTAAATCCTGCCTCTGTCACTTATTAACTGTAATTTATCTGGCATTTATTTTTCACATCTATACAATTATAATAATAACCTCTACCTGCAAAACTGATTTAAGCACTAAAGGAGATAAGTCATTTAAAATACCTTATTACCCTAACCCAGTGCTCAATAGCAGACACTTAACTTTTATCACTCAGTTAAGTCCAATTTACAAACATTTGAATGGTGAAGTAACAGCAAAAACACTACCATATTCCCCACAACATATAAAAACCCAAAATTGTAACACTATGAGAAAACAAACTAATAACCTGACAGAAAATGCTTAACTCAAAAAAAGTTATCTCACTCACAAGAATTAAGATAAACTAGGGCGGGCATGGTGGCTCACGCCTATAATCCCAGCACTTTGGGAGGCCGAGGCAGGTGGATCACGAGGTCAAGAGATTGAGACCATCCTGGTCAACAAGGTGAAACCCCGTCTCTACCAAAAATACAAAAATTAGATGGGCATGGTGGTAAGTGCCTGTAGTCCCCACTGCTCGGGAGGCTGAGGCAGGAGAATTGCTTGAACCCAAGAAGCAGAGGTTGCGGTGAGCCGAGATCGTGCCATTGCACTCTAGCCTGGGTAACAAGAGCGAAACTCTGTCTCAAAAAAACAAAACAAAACAAAAACAAAAAAGATAAACTAAGAGGCCGGGAGCCCGTGGCTCAAGCCTGTAATCCCAGCACTTTGGGAGGCCGAGGCAGGTGGATCACAAGGTCAAGAGATTGAGACCATCCTGGTCAACATGGTGAAACCCCGTCTCTACTAAAAATACAAAAAATTAGCTGGGCATGGTGGCGCATGCCTGTAATCCCAACTACTCAGGAGGCTGAGGCAGGAGAATTGCCTGAACCCAGGAGGCAGAGGTTGCAGTGAGCCGAGACCGCGCCATTGCACTCCAGCCTGGGTAACAAGAGCGAAACTCCGTCTTAAAAAAATAAAAAAAAAAAAGATAAACTAAGAGAGGCCGGGCACGATAGCTCATGCCAGTAATTCCAGCACTTTTGAGGACAGGAGTTCAAAAGATCATCCTGGTCAACATGGCAAAACTCCCATCTCTACTAAAAATACAAAAATTAGCCAGGCGTCATGGAGCACGCCTGTAATCCCAGCTACTTGGGAGACTGACGCACTTGAACCCTGGAGGCAGAGGTTGCAGTGAGCTGAGATTATTACACAGCACTCTGGCCCAGACGACAGGGTGGGACTCAGTCTCAAAATACAAAAATCAAAAACAAAAACAACAACAAAAAAAGATAAACAAAAGAGAACGATTACATTTTAATTACACTGGAAAGAATATAAGCACTGGCCGGAAGCTGTGGCTCATGACTGTAATCCCAGCACTTGGGAGGCAGAGGTGGGCGGATCAAGAGGTCAAAAAAGATCAAGACCATCCTGGATAACACGGTGAAACCCTGTCTACTAAAAATAAGAAAAATTAGACGGGCATGGTATCACCATGCCTGTAATCCCAGCCACTCGGGGACACTGAGGCAGGAAAATCGCTTGAACCTGGGAGATGGAGGTTGCAGCAAATGGAGACTGCTCCACTGCACTCCAGCCTGGGGAACAGAGGGAGATTCCGTCTCAAAAAAATAAAATAAAGAATTTTTTCTTACGCTTTTTTTTTTGTCTTTTTGTTTTTTTCCTTTTTGTGGAGAACGGGGTCTCGCTATATTGCCCAGGCAGGTCTCGAACTCCTGGGCTCAAGCTATCCTCCCGCCTCTGCCTCCCTAAGAGCTGGGATTACAGGCGTGAGCCACAGCGCCCGGCAAGAAAATTTTTTTTTTTTTTTTTAAATCAGGAGTTCAAAACCAACCTGGCCAATATGGTGAAACCCCATCTCTACTAAAAATAGAAAAATTAACTGTGTGGTGGTGTGCGCCTGTAGTTCCAGCTACTCCAGAGGCTGAAGCAGGAGAATCACTTGAACCTGGGAGGTAGAGATTGCAGTAAGCCAAGATCGCTCACTGGTCTCCAGCCTGGACAACACAGCGAGACTCCGACTCAAGGAAAAAAGAATACACACACACACCATACGTGTGTGTGTGTGTGTGTGTGTGTGTGTATGTATATATATACATATGTGTGTGTATCTATCTATCTATCTATATATATATATATATATATATATATAAAAGAACTCAGCCTCAACACTACATCTACAAAAAATTTTCAATACTCATGAGTTCCTAGCTAGAACACTCCAACTTTTAGGATATTTTACCTACATTTGTGTAATGAAACAGGCTGATGACACTACAGGTACCAATTTTCAGAGGAGGAGAAGTAATTTACACCAGTCCTAGGGTATATAAGTGGCTTATCTCAAAACTGGAATCTCCTGAGCCTGTGCCATAGATTAAGCCTAAATCAGTCTTTTATCAAATACTTATTGACTACTACAGGCAAACCAATTTAACATTCAGAGAACAAAGATGCATAATTGGTATATCCTATCTTAAATCGACTTTCAATTTCCTTTAATACAAGGCAGAACAGTGAGTGGTTAATTCTGATTGAAGGTGCTAAGAAAAACTTCATAAAGGAAATGGGATTTTAGTTGAGCCATAATGAATGAACAGAATTTTATTAGAAGAGGATTAGAAGAAGGGGACTTAAGGCTGAGAGAAGACAATAAGCTAGACTAGTATGAGGTACTCTGGAGGAACAATGAATACACTTCCGTGGCTAGGCATGAACAAGTAACAGCCCTCCTTACTTCAGACCAGGAAGATCCCGGACACTGGCTCCTATTTCTTCTGCTTCCGGGTACAGCTTCTCCACCAGTTCCAAAGGGCCCCAGATGGTTTTGTTGTAACTCAAAAATGATTTTCTTACTGAAAAGAAAAAAAACCCCACACATAATGCACGCAGTGTCGACATATAAAACTGTAGCAATTTCTTTTTAAATATTTAGTTTCAACATTTCTAACTCGGCCGGGCGCGGTGGCTCAGCCTGTAATCCCAGCACTTTGGGAGGCCGAGGCAGGTGGATCACGAGGTCGAGAGATCGAGACCATCCTGGTCAACATAGTGAAACCCCGTCTCTACTAAAAATACAAAAAAATTAGCTGGGCATGGTGGCACGTGCCTGTAATCCCAGCTACTTAGGAGGCTGAGGCAGGAGAATTGCCTGAGCCCAGGAGGCGGAGGTTGCGGTGAGCCGAGATCGTGCCATTGCACTCCAGCCTAGGTAACAAGAGCGAAACTCCATCTCAAAAAAAAATTTCTAACTTAACATACAATTATTCAGAGAACTTTCCTCTCTTTTATCACAACATATCCCAGTAAATCTGGAGCCTGTGCAAGTAGGATCCTGTTGCCCATCTGCTATTTTTTTCCCCACAACATAAGAAGGCAGTGACTATCCTTTCATATCAAATATGCAGTCAGAAAATAAAAGTGAAAAATGACCACATTCATTCTCTACCGATACCAAAATAAAGACTGGTAGCCCTAGCTGATTAATCTTTGTAAGTTTATTAAACACAAATACCTTTTTTTTTTTTTTTTTTGCTATGTTAACCAGGCTGGTCTTGAACTTGGCCTCAAGCATTCCTCCCATTTCAGGTCTCCCAAGGAGCTGGGATTACAGGCATGAGCTACCACGCCCAGCCTAAGAAGTTATTTTAATTTTAAATATGAAAAATTGTGAATTTGCTTTTCCTTTTATTTTGTTCTGAGATTTGGTCAATATAAAATCATGAAACTGTCATACATTTCTGTTATTACTGATCAGATCTCCTGCAAATACAGGGTGCCTACCATATGCACCATCCAAGGACACCCAAGACAGGCAGTTTTTCCCAGGGGAGAAAACAACATGCACAAAGTAGCTTTATAATGATTCATCCAGATAAGCCTATAACTGCTAGGACATGGTTCAACATATGTTGTGAAGTAAAGGATAATACAGTCTAAAAAGAGTTTAAAATTTAACTATTTTGGCCAGCGCGGTGGCTCATGCCTGTAATCCCAGCACTTTGGGAGGCCAAGGCGGGTGGATCACCTGAAGGTTGGGAGTTCGAGACTAGCCTAACATGGAGAAACCTCGTCTTTAAAAATAAAAAAATTAACTATTTTGGCCATCATTTGGGAAACTCCATTTCATTAGGCTTCGGGAAAATCAAGATGCACTCCTGGATGACAGAGTGAGACCCTATCTCAAAAAAAAAAAAAAGAATGTGGTTAAATAAATTACGCCATATATATACCATAAAATATTGCACAGCCATTAATTCTGATACAGACGTCTATGTAAATGAAAAGATCTCCAAGCCATATCATTACTTTTTTTTTTTTGAGACAGAGTCCTGCTCTGTCACTCGGGCTGGAGTACAGTGGTGCAGTCTTGGCTCACTGCAACCTCTGCCTCCCTGGATCAAGCGATTCTCCTGCCTCAGCCTCCCAAGTACCTGGGATTACAGGCGTGCACCACCACACCTGGCCAATTTTTATATTTTTAGTAGAGACAGGGTTTCATCATGTTGGTCAGGTTGGTCTTGAACTCCTGACCTCGTGATCCGCCCGCCTTGGCCTCCCAAAGTGCTGGGATTACAGACGTGAGCCACAGCACCTGGCCCATATCATTACTTTAAAAAAAAAAAAAAAATCTTTGAGACAGTGTCTCACTCTGTCTCCCAGACTGAAGTGCAGTGGCACAATCTCAGCTCACTGCAACCTCTGCCTCCTGGGTTCAAACAAAATTTTCCTGCCTCAGTCTCCCAAGTAGCTGGGACTACAGGCATGCACAACCACTGGCTAATTTTTGTATTTTTAGTAGAGATGGGGTTTCACTATGCTGGTCAAGCTGATCTGGAACTCCTGACCTCAAGTGATCCTCCAGCCCCTGCTTCCCAAAGTACTGGGATTACAGGTGTGAGCCATTGAGCTAGGCCATTGTTTTTTTTATTTTGTTTTTGTTTTTTAAAGAAGGATGTCACAGAATACTACTAATAGCATGATTACAATTAGAGTAAAAGAAGAAAACAAAAACAGAAAAGGGATAAAAGAATATCTGATTCTCCCTTTTTTTTTTTTTTTTTTTTTTTTGAGATGGAGTCTTGCTCTGTCGCCCCAGGCTGGAGTGCAATGGCACGATCTCAGGTCACTGCAACCTCTGCTTCCCAGGTTCAAGCAATTCTCCTACCTCAGCCTCCCAAGTAGCTGGGATTACAGGCAAACACCAGCACGTCTGGCTAATCTTTGTATTTTTAGTAGAGACAGGTTTCACCATGTTGGCCAGGTTGGTTTTGAACCCCTGACTTCAAAGTGATCCACCTGCCTCAACCTCCCGAAGTGCTGGGATTACAGGCATCCAATTTCCTTTAGGGAGATTAATAGAAGAGAATCAATAAAACGATGTTTTGATCTGTGTATTTCTGTTGTTTAATTCATGTACAAAAAGAATATACTTCTCGGGCCGGGCGCGGTGGCTCAAGCCTGTAATCCCAGCACTTTGGGAGGCCGAGGCGGGTGGATCACAAGGTCAAGAGATCGAGACCAACTTGGTAAACAAGGTGAAACCCCGTCTCTACTAAAAATACAAAAAATTAGCTGGGCATGGTGGTGCATGCCTGTAATCCCAGCTACTCAGGAGGCCGAGGCAGGAGAATTGCCTGAACCCAGGAGGCGGAGGTTGCGGTGAGCCGAGATCGTGCCATTGCACTCCAGGCTGGGTAACAAGAGCGAAACTCCGTCTCAAAAAAAAAAAAAAAAAAAAAAAATTTTATATATATATATATATATATATATATATACTTCTCAAAAAAAAAAGAATATACTTCTCTAATATTTATATATTTTAAGAAGTTACTTTAAGTCTTTAAAGAAAAGGAAATAAGTACTTTAATAACATCACATAGGATTTCTCAAATTTTGATGTCAAGACTTTCTTCTTGTTTTGAAGTATTTTTTATTAAAACCAAGTTTAGGTAAATCTTTGCCTTTTTTTTTTTTTTTTTTTTTTGAGATAAGGTCTCTTTCTGTCACCCAGGCTGGAGTACAGTGGTGTAATCACGGCTCGTTGAAACTTCGACCTCCTCGGGCTCAGGTGATTCTCCCACCTTAGCCTCCTGAGGAGCTGGGACCAGGCAGATGCTGGGATTGCAGGTGTGGCTACCACACCTGGCCAGTCAAGCTTCTTTTACTCTGTAATAGACACTCCAGTGTACAACTCTTACATAGCCCTCTACACAGGTACTCATCATATGAACTAGAGACCAAAACTGAACAATTATTATAAGTAAAAGCACAGTCATTATGCAATGAATATATATATATACATATATTCTAAAGATGGGGTTTCACCATTATGGCCAGGCTGGTCTTGAACTCCTGACCTCAGGTGATCCACACACCTAGGCATCCCAAAGTGCTAGGATTACAGGCGTGAGCCACCGCGCCCGGCCCAATGAATATTTTTTAATTAAATAAAAAACAAACATTTTACATGTAACAATAATTCAATATGTACTGATAGTAGAATACAGTATCTGCTATTATCATTTTCAGGGATGGCTCACATTTCTACAATAACTCCATCCAGAATATATTTCTACATATGTTCATGTATTATCTACGAGGTTTCTATTTCAACAATCCACTATTTCAATGCACTTGTTCAATAGCGTTCAAACTATTAATATGAGCTCATCAGAATTATCAGCTTTAAAATATAAAATAACTCTGTAATTGTCCTAGAAAACAGAAACCAGTTCAGACTATGTAAGTTTTAAAAATTTTTAAATCACATATTCTGCATATAAAACATTTAACAACTAAGCATTTTCTGAAGACCATTATGAGAAACCATAAAGTCGTAAGATATTTTCTCCCAAAATCAAACCACTCAATACTTTTTGGTGCATAGTAATAGTAATTATGGCCTCAAAAAATAACCCATTCTGAAGGGCTTAAAATGGAAAAAGGGAGACTCTAAAATGAATTAATTTTTTAAAATTTCATGATACCTTTAAGACCATGCTTCAGACAATGTTCCATAACAACAAAGAATTGCTGCAAGGGGGGATAGTCAGAATCCAAAGTGCGGCCAAAGCTCAGAGCAGATTCAATGAGTCCTTTGATACTCAGTTTAGCCATGTTTAACAAGTTTGCTCTCTCTACAGCTGTGGGGTCTTTTGTAGCTGAAAACACAAGAAAGGAATCCAACATCATTTGTAAGACATGACAATGAAAAATATACAAACTCTTCCCTTCCCCTATAAAAACCAACAGTAGTTTGCTGTTTCTTCATTGACAAATTCTCCCCAGCTAAATTACACCCTTGATTGACTGCTCTTTATGTTTCTCACATATACTGTAGAAAATTTCCATGCCCGATCCAGCCAAAGTTTATGAATCATTCTCAAGATCCTGCAAATTTGCGATTCTCCTGTATTTAACCTTCCTGGTACCTCTTCACAGAGAATAAGGTTTTAAAATGATCTTCTGTGGAGATAAATTCGTGGTGAGACAACATGTTTAAGGGCCTCATGCAAAAGGTGGATAGCAGGTACTGTCTAAGGATGAATTCCAAGGCAAAAATGTTCAGAATAAACTGGCAATCAAATAAAAGGTAGTTAAAATTTTAGGATTCCAGCTAGGCGAGGTGGCTTATGCCTGTAATCCCAGCCCTTTGGGAGGCTGAGGTGGGCAGATCACAAGGTCAAGAGATCAAGACCACCCTTATCAACATGGTGAAACCCTGTCTCTACTAAAAATACAAAAATCAACTGGGCGTGGTGGAGTGCACCTGTAGTCCCAGCTACTCAGAAGGCTAAGGTAGGAGAATCGCTTGAACCCGGGAGGCGGAGGTTGCAGTGAGCCGAGATTGTGCCACTGCACTCCAGTCTGGCAACAGAGTCCGAGACTCCGTCTCAAAATAAAAAATAAATAAAAAATCTAGGACTCCAGTGTCACCCACAACAAACATGACAGGTAAAATAGACTGACAAGTAAGGAGACAGAAGTGCCCAATTCAGTCTACACTCTGTCTGGCTTCTTCACTCTGTCTGTAGTTCTGTATTGCATGACTCTTTTATTTTCAGAGGAATAAAAGCAGGGACCAGTTTTAAGTTAACGTTCCTCGCCCTTCCACACAGCTGAGGGTGCCCACATTGCCAGTTTGAATACCAAGGTAACATGCATATTCTAAAAGGCCTCCTTTTTAATTGATACTTTTAAGACACAGTATCATCAAGCAAGACATTTTCAATTCACAAAAATATTGTCCTCCTTCCCACAAATTTTATTCTCAGTTCACTTAGAAATTCAGACAATTTCCCATCATGTGATCACTGTTGTGACTGGTGGGAATACCTTCAACAAACACAGATGACAAACTAACGTGTGGAAAAACAAAGCACTCAGCATAGCATTTCATAATCTCTGACAAATTTACAAATAATCAAAGTATTCACTTTTCCTTCGCTGAATAATAATAATAATAATAAACCAGAGTCCCCAATGATCTCGTATTCTAGCTCCGATTTCCAGACAGCTAGGCATGAAGACTGACACTGAATCCTAAGCAACCTAAAACGCAAACAGCCACAACTGCTATGACCAAATTGCCTGGTGGAAAAATGTCCACACACGACATTCCTTCAAATCTACATCGTGGTCTGACTCCCACTTTTTTTCCGGGAGTGAAACCACTCGATATTTCATAATGCGTGGCAACTCTCATTTTGCTGAACACAGCCCCATCATAAACCGTAACCTGCGATGCGACAACCATACAAAGGGCGTTCTGCAGCTGCTGGGAGGCAGGTCAGCGCTGGGCACCTGCAGTGCCAAGCCGAGGGGCGTTCACACCGCGGGGCGTTCACACCGCAGCCACGCCCCAGCTGCGCTTACAGACGCGTCCGCCCGGGACGCGACCCCCAAACCCGGCCGCAGGCGCGCTAGGAGTACAAGGGCTAGTGCCTGCCCCTTGCTCAGGCCCAGAGTCCCTTCCCAGCTTCCCTTCCTGACCCCTCCCCCAAGCAAGGCTGCCCAGAGGCCTGGGGCGCCCCCAGGACCCTCGCGGCAGGCTCACCCGGGCTCCTACGCATCGGCACTCCTGCTCTCCCGCCCTCGGCGTCACGCACCCAGGCCAAAACCTGAGGTGCGTCTTCCCTCCGCCACCCCCAAACCTGAAAAGTCATCGCCCCTCCCCGACCGCTCCCCGACACCGGAATGACACCCCGCCCGGCCCTGTCCTCGCTCCTGGACGCCGTAGGACCTCCAGTCCTTGGCCACTAAGCCCCAGAACCCAGACGGGAAGGGGCCGGAACGAGGGAGGGGGCGCGTTGCCATGACGACTCCGGGAGCCCCCGAGTCCCAGGCAGTCCCCGCCCATGCCGGGCTGGGGCCCCTGTTCCGACTGGCGAACGCAGCGTCCTCCACAGCTCCCAGTCCACCCCGTCCGACCGCAGCCCTCAGCCCGGGACCAAGGACCAAGCGTGCCCTCTCGGCCCGCTCCCCTTACCCATGGCGGCGGCGGCGGCGGCGGCGCGGTCCCGGGCCGGGGCTCCCTGGGCCTGGCCAGCAGCTCCCTCCAGGCGCTCGGCGGCCGCCACCGCATCTGCAGCCAGGCCCGCTGCGGCCCACAGCGCCCCCGGCGGTGGGAGGACGCCCGGGCGGCCCCAGGGGGAGCGGCGCCCGGGGTGGGGCGAGGGACCCACGGAGCCTACAGTGGGCGGGAAAGCAAGCCCGCCCTCTCGAAGCTTCTCGCATCTGCTGGGACCTCGAGGAGAAGGAAAGGAACCTGAGACCATGAGTGCAAGGAGCCAGAGTGCTGGGCGCTGGGTCCCGCGCCCCGGGGACTTCGCCGGAGCGCGAGGGCCTATTTCAAGGGGCTGTGCCCGCACGAGAACGTTGCCTCCACTTGGCTGGCGGGGCCTGATGGAACACACCTGACCACTGCCCGTTCGCCTTCACCGACGCACGGGGGATCAAAAGAATTTAGAAAAGCTGAAGCAATTAACAGGCAGAAATCTACTAAAACTAGTTAGCCCCAAATAATGACGTTTAAACCAATAAATACACCGGTTTATAAAAAGCAGTGAGCAACCAGTCTCGTTAATCAAGGGGAAGAGAGATCGCCGTGAAGCTAGCGTTTTCTCCTTTCCGAAAGGGAAAAAAATGAAACTTCATGTCATGGTCAGATAGATGATACTAGGTTTAAGTTATACCCGTTTGGGAAAAGTGAGCTATTACCTAGTTGTATCTGCCGCTGTTGAGACTAGAACTGGGCTACAGGTCCAGATATTTTGTGAAAATAGGACAATGTTTTTCTCCTCATCACTTTAGCCAGTATAAAGTTGTTTCTTATTTTGCTTTTAAATTTTCTTTATTGTGAGATAATCATACTTAGATAAAAATGTATAAAACAGGCCAGGCGCAGTGGCTCATGCTTGTAATCCTAGCACTTTTGGAGGTCAAGGCAGGCGGATCACTTGAGGTCAGGAGTTCGAGACCACCCTGGCCAACATAGTGAAACGGCATCTCTACTAAAAATATAAAAATTAGCCGGGCGTGGCGGTGCGCGCCTGTAATCCCAGCTACTCAGGAGGCTGAGACGGGAGAATCGCTTGAACCAGGAAGGCAGAGGTTGCAGCAAGTCCAGATTGTGTCCACTGCACTTCAGCCTGGGCAACAGAGCTCGGCTCTGACTCCGCCGCGCCCCTCCCCACCCCAAAATATAGTTTAAAGACTCATTATAAAGTGAATAGCTGGCCTGGCACGGTGGTTTACTCCTGTAATCCCAGCACTTTGGGAGGCCAAGATGGGTGGATCACCTGAGGTCGGGAGCCAACCTGATCAACATGGAAAAATCCTGTCTCTACTAAAAATACAAAATTAGCCAGGCGTCATGGCACCAGCCTGTAATGCCCGCTACTCCGGAGGCTGAGGCAGGAGAATCGCTCGAGCCCAGGAGGTGGAGATTCTGGTAGGCCGAGATCATGCCATGGCACTCCAGCCCAGGCAACGAGAGACTTTGTCTCAAAAAATAAAAATTAAAATAAATAAAGTGAATAGCTGAGCAACCATCACTTGAATGGAGAATAGAACAGAGCCACCCTTCCGAGGAAATGCCCCTAAACCCCAGTCACAATCCCCCAGTGATAAATACTATTTGGACTTCTGTAAGAATAATTTCCTTGCTTTTCTGTACATTAACACCACCTAAGTTGTGTGCCCGTAAACAACCTAGCTTATTTTTGCCTGTTTACAAACGTCTCACAAATAAAGTGATACTGTGTGAATTTTGGTACTTGTTTCTTTTACCATCATGTGTCGAATTCATCTAAGTTCATGAGGAATTTCTAGTTTAGGTTACTTGCAGGTTGTACGCCCCTCCTGCTGTGCGTGTGCAAGAAAATCTCTAGGGCATAAATTGAGAATAGAATTACTGCTGGGAAATCAGGTATGCCCTACTTTAAATTTATTAGATGATGCCTGTTTTCTTCCTCCTCCTCTTCTTTTTCTTCTCTTCCTCCTCATTCTCTTCCTTTTTCCTCTTCCTCCTCCTCCCCCTCCTCCTCCTCCTCCTTTTTGAGACAGTCTCATTCACTCACCCCGGCTGGAGTGCAGAGGTGTGATCTGGGCCCACTACAACCTCGGCCTCCCCATTTCAAGAGATTCTCGTGCCTCAGCCTTCTGAGTAGCTGGAATTGCAGACATGCGCCACCATGCCTAATTTTTGTAATTTTAGTAGAAATGGGGTTTCACCATATTGCCCAGGCTACTCTCAAACTACTGGCCTCAAGTGTCTACCTGCCTCAGCCTCCCAAATGCTGGGATTACAGGCATGAGCCATCGCACTCAGCCTGGGATTTGTATTCTATGTGCATTTAGAAGAGCTAAGAAAACTAAGTATATATTTGATTACTTTATAGAAGCATGAGACCAATGGAAAAGAACTCTACTTTCTTTTTTTTTTTTTTTTTTTTGAGACGAGTTTTTGCTGTTGTTACCCAGGCTGGAGTGCGGTGGCGCAATCTCTGCTCACCACAACCTCCGCCTCCTGGGTTCAAGCAATTCTCCTGCCTCAGCCTCCCGAGTAGCTGGGACTACAGGCGCATGCCACCATGCCCAGCTAATTTTTGTATTTTTAGTAGAGACGGGGTTTCACCATGTTGACCAGGATGGTCTCGATCTCTTGACCTCGTTATCCACCTGCCTCGGCCTCCAAAAGTGCTAGGATTATAGGCGTAAGCCATCGCGCTCGGCTGAGCTCTACTTTCTAGGTTGCTGTCTCCTCAGGGACTTTATAGGACCAAGAAGGAAAGTTTAATTCAGAAACAATCTTTACTTAAAACAAAAAACATTTCTCCCTTTGAGGCAGACATCCTTCAGCTACAAAACACGCATTTGTGGGATACTCTAGACCCCTTGTTTTGAACAGAATTGGAATTCAGTGTGTGTATGTGTTTAAACTATACTTAATAGGGTTGAAGCTGAGAGTGTTAACCTATTCTAAACCTGTGATCTACTAAAGCTAAGAATTTAGATTTTTTTTTTTTTTCTGAGATGGAGTCACGCTCTGTTGCCAGACTGGAGTGCAGTGGCTCGGTCTTGGCTCACTGCAGCCTGTGCCTCCCAGGTTACAACAATTCTCCTGCCTCAGCCTCCCGGGTAGCTGGAACTACAGGTACTTGCCACCATGCCCAGCTAATTTTTGTATTTTTAGTAGAGACAGGGTTTCACCATATTAGCCAGGCTGGTCTCAAACTCCTCTGCCTCCCAAAGTGCTAAGATTACAAGTGTGACCACTGCATCCGGCTGAATTTAGATTTTTTAATGTGCCAATATAATTGTGTAACAAAAATAATTTTTAAGACCTCATCACATGCTGAAGTATATGAGGTAAAATTAAATGAAGTCTGTAATTTGCTTTAAAATATCTCAGCAAAGGCTGGGCGTGGTGGCTCAAACATGTAATCCCAGCACTTGGGAGGCCGAGGTGGACAGATCACGAAGTCAAGAGATCGAGACCATCCTGGTCAACATGGTGAAACCCCGTCTCTACTAAAAATACAAAAAATTAGCTGGGCGGGGTGGTGCGCACCTGTAGTCCCAGCTACTGGGGAGGCTGAGGCAGGAGAATTGTTTGAACTCGAGAGGCGGAGGTTGCAGTGAGCCGAGATTGCCCCACTGTACTCCAGCCTGGTGACAAAGTGAGACTCCGTCTTTAAAAAAAAAACAAGCCGGGCGCGGTGGCTCAGGCCTGTAATCCCAGCACTTTGGGAGGCTGAGGCAGGTGGATCACGAGGTCAAGAGATCGAGACCATCCTGGTCAACATGGTGAAACCCTGTCTCTACTAAAAATACAAAACATTAGCTGGGCATGGTGGCGCGTGCCTGTAATCCCAGCTACTCAGGAGGCTGAGGCAGGAGAATTGCCTGAACCCAGGAGGCGGAGGTTGCAGTGAGCCGAGATCGCGCCATTGCACTCCAGCCTGGGTAACAAGAGCGAAACTCCGTCTCAAAAAAAAAAAAAAACAAACAACAACAAAAACAACAACAAAAAAACTCAGCACAGAGTCCAGGTGCAGTGACTCATATCTATAATTCCAGCACTTTGGGAGGCCGAGGCCGCTGGATTGCCTGAAGTCAGGAGTTTGAGACCAGTCTGGCCAACATAGCAAAACCCCCATCTCTATTAAAAGTACAAAAATTTGCGGGATGTGATGTCAGGCGCCTGTAATCCCAGCTACTTGGGAGGCTGAGGCAGGAGAATTGCCTGAACCTAGGAGGAAGAGGTTGCAGTGAGCCGAGATTGTACCACTGCACTCCAGCCTGGGCAAAAGACCAAGGCCCTGTCTTAAAAAAAAAAAAGAAAGAAAGAAAAAACTCAGCAAAGAAAAAAAGGGAAGATGTTTGAAACAATTACAGCAAAATCTTGTAACTATTGAATATGGGTGACGGGTATCAGGAGCTTATCGTGCTATTCTACTTTTGTCTCTTTAAAAAGCTTTATAGGCCGGGCGCGGTGGCTCAAGCCTGTAATCCCAGCACTTTGGGAGGCTGAAGTGGGTGGATCAGGAGGTCAAGAGATCGAGACCATCCTGGTCAACATGGTGAAACCCCGTCTCTACTAAAAATACAAAAAATTAGCTGGGCATGGTGGTACGTGCCTGTAATCCCAGCTACTCCGGAGGCTGAGGCAGGAGAATTGCCTGAACCAAGGAGGCAGAAGTTGCGGTGAGCCGAGATCGCGCCATTGCACTCCAGCCTGGGTAACAAGAGCGAAACTCCGTCTCAAAAAAAAAAAAAAAAAAAAAAAAAGCTTTATATACATTCCTGTAAGCACAAAAAGGGAATAAAAAATAGATTAATTAATTAAAATAAAAAGCTTTATAAGGCTGGACACATTGGTGCACACCTATGATCCCAGCACTTTGGAAGGCCAAAGCAGGCAGATCACTTGAGGTTAAGAGTTGGAGACCACGGCCGGGCGCGGTGGCTCAAGCCTGTAATCCCAGCA